ATGAAATTTCAGAAATTACGAAACAATTTCGAAACAATAACAAATCAATTCGTTAATGGCGGACGCGATTGCGCAATACGCTAAAAAACCCTCCAAATGGGACAGGGGGAACTTCTGAAGCTTCCCTCTCCCTCTGTTGTTGACTGTTGGTGTGATAATTTTTTTTATCACTGATAAAGCAAACAACGACTATAAAACTTGCACCAGACATACGGAAATAATAACGAAATAATAACGAAACAATTTCGAAACAATTACGAAACAATTTCAAAACAATTACGAAACGAATTGGAAAAATTCGTTTCGTTTTTTAGTTGCTCCTGAATGGTTCAATATTGCTTCGTTATAAAAAAAATAATGAATTAATAACGAATTATGAAATTAACGAACAAAACCGCCCAGCCCTACAAGATATGTTATATCTTTATCTCCTAGCTTGTCAGCCTATAAAACAGTGTTAATATTAGTCTGCCATGACTTTTTTTGTGAAACCCAAATTGACTTTTAGTGATCACGATATCACAATTAGGATCAGATCTAAAATAGCCGATCCACTTGTTTTCCACCTTCTGCATAATGAAATTGTATGCAAAGTAAATGAGGAATTTATTGGACTTGAAATTCTTGGCAGAGTGTGACTTCCAACAAATATCAGATTAATTGAAGTCTCCATTATTGCTACATCTCTCTTTGATTGTGTGGTCATTTGTTCTAGGAAGGCATCATTCAAGTTCTTATTCAATCCATGGCTGAGGGGGAATTCTAACTCTAGTCTCACAGAGCTGTAGTCCAAAACACAAGCTGCGACACCATGCTGGGCCTCTGCTAATGGAAATACACAAGGAGAATGAATGAACATTGAAGAAGCAAATCTACCTATATAAAGAAAATTATGAACTTTTACCTTGAAAACTGACAAAGGTTTCTGATCCTAGATCATCTGTTTGAACTAAATTATGTGGCAGTGTAGACTCATATGTTTGAGTTCAAAGTAGATAATCTGGGACCAGATGTGTTACACCTCAGCAGGAGTTCACCTTGCTCAAAGCACTCACCAGGAAGCCAAATATAGTAATAAACAGTTTATTGATAAAACACACAGTAAAAGAGTAAAAATCCAAATATAGGTAGAAAGAGTGAGTCCCAAAAAGAAAAAGATAAATCTCCAATACAAAGATTAAAGCTTGAACATTAATCCAAAAAACAAGGAACAAAACAAGAGCTTGAATCTATAGATAAAATCCTGACCACTGGTAGCAAAACTTGATGAGAAAACTTGTCCTGAAGGTAAAACATGACCAGGAATAAAGCAGGAGCTTCTCACTCCATTTGCAACATTGCTTGATCTGAAACTTAACAGCTTCCTCTCCCTAATTAAGGACAGCAATGCATGAAGGCATTCCATTGACCTTGCGAGGCCTGTCTCTCCCTCTCTTTCCCATGGCTCTGCTTGAACCTGGATTTTTTCCCACAAAGGAGCAGCCTTGATTCTCTGTCCAACCCCTCTTCATCGGGTGAACTCATATCCTCCTCCTTTCTCTGCCTGTCAGCTTCTAAAACAGTTTATTTTCATACACAGGGGCAGCATCTAATTCCAACTCCCCCTCCCTCCATTCTCCCAACCGGGGAATCACCATCCTGTTCCAACATCCCCTCTGTCTGAGCACTCCCAAACCCCTCATCATCATCATCTGGCTAAACTAAAATGAGATGCTGGATTGTATGGCAGTGTAGATCCAGCCAATACAATTCATTACATGTTCAGAACTTTAAGAACATAGAAGTTGAGAAGTGGAATATGTGGACATAGTTGTGGAATGATATATTGAGGGACTTACACTTGCCATTTAAGAACAAGCAGCTTTGAAAAATAGCATTAAGGCAAATGCAGGGGAGATTGTAAATTTCACTTACACAAAGAAAACAATGAAATTATTGATTATCCAATTGGTTTATGCAGAATGATGGCACAGACTGAATTTAAGACATGCCACAATCAAATGGATACTTTGAATGCAGTGATGAGGGAGGAAACTCAAAGAGATCATGTCCCCTGCACAGTCTTTCCATTATAAAAACGAGATCAAAGTCCCATTTAATATATACATAGACAGGCATATGAACAAATATGCCAGTCTCTCTTGCATTTAGTTTGAGAAAACATAATGTCCAGCAGAACAGATAAATACCAGTAATATTCCAAAATGTTTTGTGCTCATACTTGGTTGTCTTTATATCCCAATGTCAAATTAAATCCTGTAAAATAGGTCTGTTTTAATGAGGTGTTTGGTTTAATACATTGCTTTTCCAACTTATTTCATGGTGATTCATATGTTAACCCAAGTGCACAGCTGCTGCTCTTTGGGAAATCAGCCCAGTACAGGCAGAGATTCTTGTATAAAGATTTAAATGTTCGATTGCCTGGGTCACTACATGATCTTGCTGGGTTTCAATTATTAATAAGCCTAAAGGTGGATTTCTCTACTATTAATTATATCTCATCTCATTTGCACTGAAGAAAGCACATAAAATAACCAAGTGTTAAGCCAGCAGTGACTTATATTTAAAATGATGTAAGATAAAGTAACCAACTTGCTGATTTAAAGGGGTCAAGGAAAATAGTGTATTCAAAGTGGGAAATGAACTGATGCATCAAAACATGCACATTTTGAGCACTCTGTGCTAAAATAGCTTTGCCAGTTTTTAAGTTAGTCAGCAACTGTTTCTTTAATAGTCATTTTGATCTGTGACAGTTAGCAAAGGATCTCCTTCTAACTTTAGTTATTCAGAAACTTACATAGTTGGGCACAGCTTTGGACCATATTCAACAGCATCCCAAAGTGATGGTAGAGAAGAGATGTAGCTTTCAAGATGTAGCTTTCAAGATGGTTGATTTCCCATTCTAAAAATTTCAAACATCTTGGAAATTTAAAGGGCATGTAGCCACACACACACACACGCACACACATACCCCTGGAAAGTGCAGTTTTTGGGGAGATGTGGGAACAAAATCCCAGGAGAAACTGGGTTTAAAATCCTAGTTCCTCCCAGGATGTAGATCCTACACTGCCCTATCCCAGATTATCTGCTTTGAACTGGATTACATGAGTCTTGCCAGATAATCAAGTTCAAAGCAGATAATGTGGGATCTACACTGCCATATTACTGAATCTATACTGCTATATAACCCAGAATCTGATCTCAGATTATCTGCGTTGAACTGGGTTATATGAGTCTACACTCATAATCTGGTATCAGAAACCAAATTATATGACAGTGTAGATCCAGTTTTAGAAGCTTCGCCGTGTTCTTCATGTCATCTTTAAGAGAAGCAAGGTAGTACCGTAGATGGTCCTTCAAGTCCGAACAAGCAGATCTCTGCTTTAATCAAAGGTGCATCCACACTGTTGAATGAATGTAGTTTGACACCACTTTAATTCTTGTGGCTGAATGCTATGGAATCATGTGAGCCATAGATTTATAATGTCTGCAGCCTTCTCTACCCTATAATGCTAGAGCTACCCTTAACTACAACTCATACAATTCCATAGTATGTGTCAGAAATTAACTGCCTAGGCAGTTTGGATTCTTGGCTGCCTGATGTCTTTTAACTACAATACCCAACATCTCTGACCACTAGCCATGCTTTCTTCAGGTGATGGAAATTGTATCTCTGCAGTATATAGGACTCAATATTGTACCCCAGCAGTGTATGAGACTCAATGAGGAAAACTAACACTTTAAGGGCTGCCAAATTTAATTAGGAATGCAGCACTACATCTGCTTATTCAAAGCTGGAAATTATTCTTACTGAGTTCCTGGAGATTTTCTCCAAGGAAATTGCATATGGGATTGAAATCCATCTGGAACAGAGTAACTTTTACGAAGTCCAAGTAGTTTAAAAATAGATTATTTTCAATTTTTTTTTTGTAATTTTGTTATTATTAGAAGGTCTTTTCCTTTTACTTTTCAATGCCACTGAAACTGTGATTTCTTGAAATAGATGCAAACGACATACTGTTTTTAATTGCATACTGTGCTTTCTGGGTTTTCCCTCTGCTGCCCCCCCCCCAAAAAAAAAATTCATGCCATTCCAAAACTGTTCCATCAAAGTTTGCTTTCCTTCTTATTTATTCTTATATTGATCACATTGATCCTCTCAATATTCATTAGGTCATTTTAATGAGGTATCTCTGGAGACCTGATGAACATCTAAATCAGTGTCAGTTTACCAAGACGTCTTTACATTTCAACTCCTCTGGGGTAGTACAAATAAATTGGCAGTAAGGAAGGAGATCAGGGAAAGACCTTGTACTGTCCTTCTATTATAGGACACAAACTGCTAAGAGAGAACCACATCTTGGATATATTGTTTGGGACTATCATTTCCAAAATACCCAAGAGAGTAGTTCCGAATGCAAGAAAGGTGTGAGGCTCCTGAGACAAAGAGTGATGATCTCAGCAATCAACGATCAAAGTTTTAACAAAATGTTTGTGTGTATGTATGTATATGTATATATGTGTATTTATGTGTGTGTGTATATATATGTGTGTGTGTGTGTGTGTATAAAGAGAGAGAGAGATAGACTGGTTTATCTGGTCTGTCATGGGAAACTGTCTAACTCTATATACACATACAATAGATTATGGTGATGGTAACAGCAGAGGGATTTGCCCAACCTTTCCTGCTCAGGAAATGCCTCAATGGGGTTACAAAAAGGTGATTGCTCTGGGTTAGGTCTTGCTACATTTTACAGAGAAACTTATACATTGTATATAAAGAAATAGATACAATTGATAGATAATAGATAGACAGACAGACAGAAACAAGTTAGGCAGAAAGATAGGATAAATGATACATTTTATTAAAGGGTTGAAATGATACATTCTTTGTGTGGAATAAGCTGCTGCCAGTCTGCCCCTAACCTCTGATGATTCAAAATAGCAAGAGTTCAAAAAAGTCTCTAATGATGATGATGATGATGATGATAATAATAATAATAATAATAATAATAATAAAGAAAAAATCATGAATGTGACTCACAAATGGAACTTTGAAAAAGAAGCCTGAGAGCCTGATTCCTGCAGCCCATGAACAGGCAATTAGAACAAATTTCATCAAATCCAAAATTGAAAAGTCGATGACAGATCCGAAGTGTAGACTCTGCAAGGAAGCAGATGAAACAATAGATCACATCCTCAGCTGCTGCAAGAACATCAAACAGACAGACTACAAGCAGAGGAATAATACCGTTGTTCAGATGATTAATTGGAATTTGTGCCACAAATACCATCTGCCTGTGACAAAGAACTGGTGGGATCACAAGCCTGAAAAAATTACAGAAAATGAACACATCAAACTAATCTGGGACTTCTGAATTCAGAGTGAGAGAGTTTTGGAGCACAATACTCCTGATCTCATGATTTTGTTAAAAAACCAAGTATGGATTGTTGATGTTGCAATCCCAGGCAACAGCAAGATTGAAGAGAAACAACTGGAAAAGCTGACATGATGTGAGGATTTAAAGATCGAACAGCAAAGACTCTGGCACAAGCCAGTAAAGGTGGTCCCAGTGGTGATTGGCACACTGGCCTTAAGACCTTGGCCTTAAGACCTTGGCCTTAAGACCTTGGCCTGCACTTAAACACAATCGGCACTGACAAAATTACCATCTGTCAGCTGCAAAAGGACACCCTACTGTGATCTGCATGCATTATTTGCCAATACATCACACATTCCTAGACATTTGCGAAGTGTCTGGTGTGTGATCCAATACAACAGCCAGCTTAGTGATCTTGTTTGCTGTATACTAATCTTGTTGTGTTTCTAATAATAATAATAATAATAATAATAATAATAATAATAATAATATCCTTGGAAAACTACAGATTTGAGGGGGTAGTCATTGTGGCTTGACAACAGAGGGGTGAATATTGGAGGGGCAAAATGAGAGCTTAGCTCCATGAATAAGCATTATGGCACCAATAAAATTTTCCTTCAGTCTCCAAATTCCTAGCATTACAGAGACAGAGATAGAAGCCTCCAAATATAGGAATCCTTTATTAGCTGTGTTCTCATTTATAACTTTGCTTACTTTCGGTCTCACCTCCTTCACAGGCACGATTGGTTAGAATGAGAGACAGGAGCTTCTCAGCGGTGGCCCCTTGGCTGTGGAACTCCCTCCCCAGTTAAATCAGATGAGCTCCCTCCCTCCTGACCTTCAGATAGAAATTAAAAACATGGATGTGGGACTAAGCTTTCAGACAGCAATTTTTCAGTGCAATAAGTGAATATGGAATAATGCAATGATGACTGGAACGGCCTTGGACTATGATTTTGGATTGCATGGTTTTAATAATTGGTTTTAATGTTGAGATGTTTTAAACTTTTTGGTTCCAATGTTTAATATATTGAATTGTTGCCTACTTGTAAACCGCTTTGATTCCCCTTTGGGATGAGAAGGGTGTCGTATAAATACAGTAAATAAATACATGTGTATTTTGAAAAACTCAACTGAAGTTGCAAAATTGCTACAATACTAGAGCACAAAATGAACATTTCATTTGAGGAGGGGCAGGATTCTCTTTGGGGGGAGACAATGTCTTCATCATCTCCAGCATAGTTATAACCATGCTTGAAATCTCAATGAACTTGAAGTGTGGTAGCCACAGAATGAGAAAGGTATTGGAAAAAGATATAATGTTTGATAAACTATCAGCTCTCATTTTACATCAAATAAAGTGATGGTCCTGTAGTTTAATGGCATAGCTCTTCCTCTCTCTTTTTTATGAGCTTCGAAAATAGCTCATTAACAGCTTTGCAAATTAGCACAATAACTTATGCAGACACACTCATTTGTCCTCATTTGTGAATAGGCTTCATTGACAAGCCTAATGAGATATTGTAGGGAATTCCCAACTGCAGGAAGGGGCAAACATTTCAAGCATACCTCTAAATGGAAATGCTCTTGGGCACTAACTCTTCAATAAAGTAAGGTGTAAAATGCAATTTCCTCTGAGCCCATGCCAACATTAGAAATATTTGCCTCACACTTGCATGATAAATGTCTTTGGCAAATGTTATTTCTCCCCACTCAGATCTATGATTCTAGCACTTCCTTCATAATTTGGGCAAATTCTCCAAAGAACAAGAAAACAAGTGTCTTCCAGTGTCTAATTTAGATACATATTGGGGGACATTATTGTAATGATTTTGGAGTGTCATTTAAGTACAATTAATCATCCTTTGACAGTTTTTAGTTATTGTTCCTAATTTAAATAGTTTTGGAATCCATCGATATCAGTTAAAAGATACAAAAATACTCCTCTTTGACATAAATGGTGGAGAAGGCAAACTCCGCTAGGACATTGCATTTCAAACATTTTTTGCTAAGATTTGATTTTATTGTACCTTTAGATAAATAAAAATGATTGAAGGTGCACCTACACTGCATAATTAGTGCAGTTTGACACCACTTTAACTGCTATGGCTTAATTCCATGGAATTGTGGGAGGTGTAGTTTTATAAGGTCTTTAGCCTTCTCTACCAAAGAGTAGTGGTGCCTCAATAAACTATAACTTCGAGGATAAATGGATAAGTAACTAAACATGATTAATTCCACAAAAGGTCTGAGGAAAGTCAGAAATTCTCATCTGCCCCCTCTCCAAGCTACATTTGGACCAAAAATTGTTTTACAGAATTGAGATATCAAATTATACTATATATAATTCAGAGAATACCTAGAATCTGGTGGTCGGATGGGTTGAAAATGGCCTCTTGCTTTCTTTCTTCTTCTGGCTGCTTCAGAGATAGGTCCTGCAGATGATGTACTGAGCTCTCATCTCTCTGATTCCCTTCAATGGATTGTCACCTTGTCGTGTTCCAATGAACCTGCGGGTGCAATGACTGGAGTTGTGCACTCACAAGAGTGCCTGCAGGGGAGGTTCCAGACTACGAACAATCCGAAGACCCAAAGACCTCAATGATGAAGCAGGCAGAGGATAATGTGGTACATGTTACAATGGCTGTGAAGGTGGAAGAAGGAATCCCTGGCTAAATGCCTATTGGGGATGCATAAAATGGCATCCACCATAACTTGAGGAACAATGGAAATAAAAGAAATGTGAGATACAGCTCAAGACGTTCAAAAGATGGTTCTTTGTTAATAGAAATATCTGATTGTGTAGATTTTCTACCAATAATATAATCATCTGAGCATCTTAAAACATGTCTCTTGTTTCTTCTGTAATTCTATTAGATGCTCACAGTTTTTTGCTTTACCATTGGAGATAGGCAATGTATTCTAAAGCTAACTTTGTTAAGTTTTCAAAAGTTGCTTCCTGTCTTCCCTTTCTTTTCCCAATACTAGAACCTAATTCATAACATACTTAAAGGCATGAATAACAAAGGTAAAATAATTTAGAATACTGATATACAAATCTCACTCTATGTGTGTACTTTTGAGTTGTTTCCATGAATTTCATAAGGTTTTCTTAGGCAAGGAATATACAGACACAGTTTTGCCAGTGCCTTCTTCTGAAATATATCCCAAAGCTTCCACCCAAAAACTGGACAGAGTCCATCCTATTTAGCTTCCAGGATCAGATATGAGTTATATACAGTTAAGTACATAGTCATATTAAAATAACACCCCAAATAAGAAAAGTTTAAAAGCACATTAAGTTTAGGGAGACTTCATAATACACATAACATTAAAGCCCTTCCTCTGAAGTCAATCAAAGAAGCCAAATTCTTCTTTGAGCAGAAAACCTGTAGAGGTTAAAATTCTTTGCAAAGAAAAAAATGGCCTTGAAATGTGAAAAAATCCAAAATAATATGTCTTGTCATGCCAGGTATATCAATGCAGCCTCCAATAGGTGCAAAATGTACTATTGAAAAATTGGACTTTTGGAATGTTGCTTTTGCAATCCCATACCTTGTAATTAAAACATTGCAAGTTTTCCAGGTAGCCTCATGCTCAACATCTTCAGGAAGACTGAAGATTGCAGTCTTGATCTTCTAATACACAGTTTGTTCTCAACTGCTTCCAGACAAATCTGAGTAGGAATGTGATGCTCTGCTTTACGACTGATTGGAATTTAATGTAACATCTACATAACATTACTGGCCTCTGCTGCCAATGTGTGGGAGAGGTTAGGTGTCTAGTTCTGATGAGGAAGAAATATTTCAATTTCAGTTTAATGGGAACTTACCTACATATTTCAGGCCTGTGCCTGGGCTGAAACATAATGATCCTTCAACATCCTTCCTCCTCAAAATGCTAGAATTCAGTTCTCTTCTAAGGAAAAATGCAAAAAGAAATTATGTACTGGACAATAGATACACATAAAATGTAAGCACTCTTTGTAAGAAAAATCATGTGTACATTAGGAGCATTAGTTACAAAATAACAGGGGTGGGGGGGAGGCGTTGAAGATAAATCAAACTATTGCAAAAATGCAATGGTTTGGAAAATAAGGAATGAAGACATACTAAAACTGACAGGTTTGGCCATTTCTGCTGAACTCCAGGCTGAATTAAACCAAAAGACCTCATCACGTTAGGAAGTAATCTGTTTCTATCAGCATGTATCCCATTTTTTTTAACCGAATGCATGCAGACAGGATGCACATTGACCCCATCATACCCAAATACTACAATTCTTACCTTCATAAAATGTTGTGCTTCATCCCATCACACCACAGAAGGCTGGCTCCCTCAGTCTATTCAAAACACTGCCTATGCCACTTTGTGACCTTTAATAAAAACTAAATATGTGCAGAGGCATAGCCTGTAAGTCCCAAACTACCACTTTTACAAGATTTGAAAATGTATTCGCACCTGTATTTGTCTGATCTCTACCTTTTAACACAAAATACAAAGATCTATAGTACAGAGTTCTAAGGAATACAATCTTATTGAGTTTCTAAATGATAGATTATTGATTCATTAGATATGGATCTTTTGCTGCATCTACTGATGCTTGGTTACTACCTCAGTTTTATGAGGCTGAACTTGAGGTGATGCAGAGGCAACAGCAGCTTCTGACAATGCTGCTTCTCCTTTTAAGGAGGCATAATAGTTAAAAGTAAAAGTCTGTTGCTTCAGTACAGATACAACAGTGGAAGAAATTGCACAGATTCCGGTTAAAAAATTGCAAATATATATAATGAGGTAGAGCAGCAGGTCCTGATTTCCCTAATCCTGGAGATCTTTCTCATTTGATGTCCCAAACAGAAATGGCAGCCATTTCCATCATGACCAGTTCAGGGTCATGAGACTGTCCCAGACATGCCCTGTGATGACAAGTCATATAATTGTTGACAGGATGCATGCTGATTTCCCCAACATACACAAAAACAGTGCTTTTGCAATGGAAAACTGTGACGTTTTTAAAATGCTACAAATAGAATACCGTCTAGAAATACTCAATTTCTGTGACAATTTGCAATGGATTTCAACAAATTACCAACAGGACAGGGTAAACGTCATGTGATGGGACCTGTTGGAAATTGTCCTTAATCAGTCTTAGGAACAGAGTATTTCCTAATGAGATGAGGTCCCAAATGTATATTCTGACAGGCACATTGTAGGGATTTTTCTTTGCACTCCCATTCATTAGCAATGTGGTTAGTGTTTTCTTGCACAATGTATCCTAAGCATTTGTAGTATGTTGAGAGTCTTCTCAGCTATTAAATGTAAATAGTTCAAGATAAAGATCATTTTTTTTTTAAAAAAATCATTATTGAATATACTTTCAATTGGTTGTTTATTATTTCCAATTAAAACATATGAAAAATGCAGTCTTTGAGGAATTTCTGGTGGTTTTAAACCATTATAGAGCAATATTGTATCAGGTGTGATCTAGTAATTGGAGATTTCCTTTCAGACATGGTAGAAATGCTCGTAGGTGAATAAAATAGCTAAAGTGAGATGTACGTATAGTTCACACTACATAATAATAGCTGTTGGAGACCACTTTAACTGCCATGTCTTCAGTCTATGGAATTCTGGAATTTTTAATTTAGAACTCTAAAATTTAAAACTTTAGAAATAGAGAGCTATAATGTATCTCAGACTACCAATCATAGGAGGCTCTCATGACAGTTAGTCCCACAATTATGTACTCTGAAAGACCTTAGGCTGGCATTCTATTAATGACATATGCACATATATTTTATTTTTACTGTTGTTTTTGGTGATGGTGGTGGTATGGAAAGGTAAAAATGTTCTTGAAAATTGAGAAATCTTGCCTATCAAATTGTAGGTGGAGGGAGGATGTTCTGTTGCCATCCACTTTCTCTTTACCACTCCATGGCCGGAGGGGAGTGCAGGAAAGCAGCATTTTCAGAACGGAGTCTTTCTTTCAACTGCAAAAATCATATAAAAAGCAGTTTTAAAACCATTCTGACAGTTGGGAGAAAACTGGGGGAACAAATTTAACCAAGAGTCAGATCCCTACATTGTATCTTTAGTGTTTGCTCCTGGTTAATGGTTTCATGTTAGTGTGATTTTTCGTGCTATAAAGGATATTTTATTAAAATGTATGAAGCCCACTTATTCCTGATCAGACCAATTTTCCATGTGACATTGTGGGCTCTAATTGACAACAGCTCTCTCTACAGTGGTTCCCAACCTTTGGTCCTCCAGAGTTTTTGGACTTCAGTCCTCTGGATGGGATTTCTGGAACTTGAAGTACAAAACACCCAGAGGGCCAAAGGTTGGGAATTGGTGCTTTAGCACCTCTAGGAAGGCAAGTTCCTTTCTTGCTTATATGATCGAGAAGCTCTTTCTCCAGTAATTTCAGGGAAAATTAGAAGGCCATGATAGTGAAACCAATATCCACCACTATTGAAATAATGCATTTCTATTCCACATTCTAACAGACCAGAACATCAACAGAATAGGATGCTGAGTTCAATTTCTGCATTGTGCATTGACACAGATGTGGTTCTGTACTTCTGTACTTCTATCCCTTAAAACTAAAGAATTAAGGACCTTTGACACTTGTTAATCTATATTCTGTTTGGGATTCCATCAAGACCTTCTGACTATCAGAGTGCCCAGTTCATGATGGTGGTTGAACCAGACAGGCACAGTTATTATCAACACTCCACTTAAATGCATTCTTACAAACTAGAATCTCATGATCTTTAAATGGAAAAATGAACACATTATTGGGTACATTACATGCTTCTATTACATGCATCTATAGAGATATACAGCATATACAGTCCTCTTAAAAAGAAACACAGGCATGTTGACAAAACATGAAATAGCTAGAAATTCAGCTTTAAAAGCCTTTTGTTTATGTTTAAGAAAAATATGATGCTATAAGTAGCCATACTTGCTTACAAGAAAAGGTTATCCTGGAAATGGAAAGGGTCTTGGAGAACATTGTTAGAAGGGGATACATGGGTCCCATTTGCTATGGGTTTCCCATTCCTATTTGATCTTGATGGATCAAGTTTCGATCCTTTATCCTTGTGGATCAGGTTTTAGCCAATGTGATTTTCTATACTTTAAAAGTTTGATGATTGTACTGCCACCTGTTTGCATTTTGTTTCTGTAATGCATCTGGTTTTAATGTTTTTAATCTAATCTTGTATTATTGTCTCAAGTGGAGGTCATGAAGGAGACTTATAAATAAATATATGTTAAATAAGTAAATAAAGATGGATGGTAACATCTGATATTAAGAAAACATATTAGTCTTATTTCTAAATTTAAAAAGGTTCAAAATGTGGGAACTGTTCCTCATATTGATGCATGTCAGATGCACCACAGTGTTCTGTCTACACTTTCCAAAGTACAGTATTTCCCATGCAGTCTAAAGAATTTTCAGAGTGGTAGTCAAAAAGCAACCCAAAGGATTTTTGCAAGCGCTGGTAACAACTTGACTTGCCTATCTGGCTGCTTCTGAAATCTCTCTCTACTTCTGTTTTCTCATTTTTATTTCCCCAGTGATTTTGATTCCCACATATTCAATTTTGTTCATCAATCCATCAAAAAGTCCTTCTGCTTAATTACATAGTAGTCATATTAATGGAAAACCTACATCAGTCAGTAGTTTTTACTATAAAATGGTTTCTGTCTGTTTTCTACCCTGTATTAACAATAGCCACATGTGCACTTAAGTAGTGATAAATGTTCAAAGGTACTTTCCTGACATCTATGGAAAAAATACTCTAAAACATGGTCCTTCAAGGACTGGAAATCGGTTTGATTTATGAAAAACTACTCTAACCCAACCTGAGCCTTTCCAACAGGGCACATTTTAAATTTAATGGAGGCTTCAAAGGACCATATACTATCAAGTTCCTCTTCAGATTTTTAAAGATGGAGAAAGTAAAAGCTGATTCCTATTTATTTCTTTTATGATATATTTTAGAATTATTTTCAATTTCAACCATCATAAACTTAACCTTTGTAATATGCTGTGTATTATTCCAGCATTTGTCTGTTGGGCACTGTAAGTCTGCTAGAATAATCTAGCAAATGCACAAGGCAATTACAGATGAATATGAACAATTTAATATATTGTGAAGATAATGCCTATCTTAAGAGGAAGTTCCACATAGTTGTCACAACCTATAAACCTTTCATAATGTGGCATCCTGTACTCCAGACCAAGCTCATTTGTTGCTGTAGGTTGGTATAGGTTGGACATGATACTTTTTGACTGTCTGGATAAGATTTCGGGTTTCTCAGGCCCCAGCCATTTTGGTGTGCTGCTGCCATCAGAAACAATTCAGTACATTCTTAGCTTTATGTTGTGCAATACAGATTAGAGAAACTGCAGCAATACTGTTCATCTGTACTGATTACCAGTTTTGGAGACCCTCAAACAAAATTCACTCCAAAGGGGTGGAAAAAAATCAAAATAGAGTGGAAGCTTTGCTTTAAAGTGTCCCAACGTAAGAGTGTTTTGAGTTAAAAGCTGTTTTTGGCCCCAGTTTCGCTTTGACATATGCACAACATTTTGAGTTAAGTGCTATCGCCAGAGGGATTGCCAGCATGAGAGTACAGGACTTATAGGCTTCAAAGAAGCAGCCTCTGTGCCTTGGTGTCTCCTGCCTCCATGCCTTGTGTTCTTGTCCACTTTGCGAGATTGCTTTCTGCTTTGCTCTTGTCTGCTTTGGGATGTTACTGTCCACTTTGCTCTTGACTGCTTTGAGGAACTTTGGGTTCGTAGATTTTGTGTGGTTTTTATTCCTGAAATGTTTGACTACATTAAGAAAGAGAGGGAGAGCAGGAGAGGGGGGGAGGCTGGAATGAGTGCAGTATGAAGAAATTGTTACTTCTGCCTCTTCACTTTGTGCTTTGCCAAAACTTTGTGCTTTTACCATCATGTCACAACTTTGTACTTCTACCGTTTTAAAGTTGATATTTCTTTTTTATTGTTCCATGTGAATGCACATTTATAAATTTTTGTTGTTATTTGTTGTTTCCTCAAATGTGCTTCCTTGCCACAACTTTGTACTTCTATCATTTTAAAGTTGTTACTTCTTTTTATTGTTCTATGTGAATGCACATTTATAATTTTTGTTGTTATTCGTAAAATACATTTTTATTTAAGAACACATAACAAAAATGGTAGAGTGGAATTGATTAATAGCATTTCAATGCATTTCAATGGAAAAAATCACTTTGAGACAAAAGCATTTTGAGTTAAAAGCATGGTCATGGAACAAAATGAATTCTTAAGTCAAGGCATCATTTTAACTATTTGAAAAGGGAATTAATTAATTTCTCTTCCACAAAACCCTTAACAAGATTATGTATAGGCAGTCCCCAAGTTACAAACATCTGACTTACAAATGACCTATAGTTAAGAATGGGGGTAAGACAATGGGAAGATTTACCCCTATGAAGGGAAATTCACCCCTGAAAGAGTTATATTGGGGAAAAGCTGTTTCAACAGAAGATTTATCACCAATTTTTGTTTCCATGACAAGCCAAATTTTTCAAGATCCAATTATCACAGGGACAGAAAGTGAGGTGAAATCTTCTGAACAGAGGCACAGACAGCAAACCAATCACCACAGGGGTGCTAACTATTCGCCGTGCTATCCAAAGCTAATAAATAAAATATATTTGGTTGAAGTTTCAATTAAAAATGTACCTGTTCCAACTTACACACAAATTCAACTTAAAAAGAAACCTACAGAACCTATCGTGTTCATAACTTGGGGACTGCCTGTATATCTTTCAGTTTCATGTTACTGGGAAGAAACAACATGTACATCTCTTCCAACTAGTTGCAGATGAAATCTAGAGCATAGTAGGCCAAATGACATCAAGCTTTTGCCTGAGTCTACTGGGAAGGGAAAATCTTTCTCTTGCTGAAGGTTTTTGAATAAAACTATGATTGCATTTTAGACTCAGTTTGCAACTACAGAAGAAAACTAGGGGGAAAGTATAGTAAAAGCTTTTTTTTGAACAATTCAAAATAGGCATGAAAACAATAACTATTTTTTTGAATGGTTGAAAAACACCTTTCTCAAGTGTCAAGAAAGCCTTGTGAGAAAAACTTCACAATTCAGGTGAGATTTTTTTCTTCCTTAGAAAACAATTTTCTGCAAAGCAAAAATCCAAAATATTATTTTCTGTGAAGAAAGTGCTGTTTCCTGTGCAAAAATGCTAGATGAAATTTTTGTGGGAAATAATGTCCAAACTACAAATAGTCTCCAAAATAAGCCAAACTTTGGAATGCTTTCTCACTAAAGAAAGAAAATGGCTAACATTGCATTGCTTTGGACTAGGTGACCCATGTGGTCTCTTCCAATTCTATTATTTTATGATTCTATCATTCTTTGAGAAAAAAATTAGTGGTCAAGTGCATCCTTAATTCAAAAAGGTTTTGAAAACGAATTTTAAAGACTGAACTTTAGTCCATGGGGAAAATACAGACAAAAATGTATCATAAAACTGAATATATAAAAGGAGATGTGTTTCAAAATATGCACCTTTCTATGTAAGCAGAGTAAATGAAGTCTTGTGGCATAATACAAAACAGGGATGGGTGGATGCAAATTAAATTCAGAGATTATTTCCAGGATCTTTTTTCTTTACTAATTTTTATTCAGAATAAAGGAAACAAAGTAAAAGAGTAACTCTTACACAAAAAAGAAACACACTAAAACTAATAGCACTAGACTCTCAATGCACTTCTCCCTAAGTCTTCCTCCTACATCTTTTTTTCCTGTCCACAGTAGCTTATATCCATTTGCTTCCCTCTAGACCAAAGTTCTTGAGAATGTGGCCCTTCAGTGGTTGTTGGACTGAAACTCCTAAAGGTTTTCACTATTCACTATACTGGCTAGAGCTGATGTGGTTTACAGTTCACATTTCTAGCATTGCAGCGAAG